ACCTCGCGCGTCCGACTTCCGATCCCCAGCCTCCCGTCGAACACGATCTTCTCCTCTCGCTCGGTGTGCTCGTTGAGGGCGGACAGCAAGTCCCCGTCCGCGTCCGAGACCAAGACCTCCGAACCCCGTCTGAACTCCTCGATGCTCAACGGACCCCCGAACATCGCCAGCTTGCGACGGAGAGGCGCCCCCCTGATCCCGTAAGCGGAGGCCGTCGCGGAGGAGAGCGGCGCCCGTCCGTTCCCGAGCCTGATCTTAGACCGGAACAGGGAGAGGAACGTGCAACACCTGTCCCTGTTCACGCTGTTGCGCTCCAGATTGAACGACTTGCAGCAATCGAAGGAGCAGAACCAGCCCATGGTGCTGAACACATTGCGCCGCTCGTCGTAGGCGACGGGCAAGGGTATGGGCACGGTGTCGAACCCGTGGCAGCAGTACCAGCACGCTATCGGAACCCTCCTCGGCCAATCTTCGGTCTGCATGGTGCCTTGGGCGCCTCGGAGACCTGCTCTCTTCCTTATGGCCCGCCAGCCTCCGCGGCACAAAAATCTCTATTAGCGTTAACGCGATGGTCACCAGGACGCAGCTCATCCTCTTGCTGCTGGCTCTGCTGGTGGCCGCCGTCTTCTTATCGTGCATCGGCAGCCGGTCGGGGGTGGAATACTTCGCCGACGAGACGCGTGGGCCGTTCGGCCAGTCGGACCTCTCGTACTCGCGATTCGTCACCAACCAGCAAGAGCCGTTGGATCCCGCCTCGGGTCCCCTCGTCATCACGTCCCTTCCCGGTGGCACCACGACCGCGTCCCCTCCCCTCACCCAGATGGTCCCGACTATCAACGCGGACCTGGTGCAGGCGGCACCCATGCTCGGGCCGGCCGTCTCCCCGACCGTGCGCACGACCGTACCGCAGCTATTCGGCATGGAAGCCGCCAGCGCGACGAACGCGGCGGCCCGTCCCTCGACCGTCCCTCCTCCCGCGGACGGCCGCATCGCGCTGCCCCCCTCGGCCGCGAGCCTGGCCATGGTGCAGAACCTATACAACGCTTGAGGCCTCAGCACGTCGCCTCGTTCTGACCGACGATGCGCTCCAGCTCCCGCACGAAGAGGTCGTTCCTCGCTCGCTTGGTCTCGGCGATCTGACGCACGATCGAATCCCCCGAGTTGGCTGTCAGCCAGCCCGGCACCCTGGGTACCAGCCGAGCGTCGTCCTCGACGGACCCGGGCATCACGCAAAAGTGCTCGTGCACGGTGACCGTCCGTTCCTCCGAAGGGAGTCGGGCGTGGCTGTCCTTCCTGATGGCCCTCGCGATGACCTGCTCCACCCGACTACGATTGAATTGCGGCTCCATCACGTGGACCTGCCGGGTGTCCAGCAGGTTCAAGCCCTTGCTCCCGGCGTCCGTGAGGATGATCGCTCGATACCGCTCGGGATCTCCCGCGGGGGCGTTGAACCGACGCACCACATCGGCCCTCCCCGCTCCGGCATACACTCCAAACGGCGCTCCGGCATCTAGGAGGAGCTTGACCAGGATGTCTACGCCGTGCCGGCGCCAATGCGTGTAGAACATGGTCTGGGACATTCCCCGCCTGAGGAAGGCGCGGACGGCGGAGCGAAACTTCGGCGGTCGAAACTCTTATTTTCGAGAGCGTCTTCGACGGCGCGCTCCTCCTCGTCGCCCCGCAGGGGTCGGCCCCCCGGGTCCAGATAGACCGCGTTGGCGATCTGTCTCATGCGCGTGAAGTACTGGTCCGTCTCCAGGACTCGGTGGTCGTCGCCGTCGGGAGGATGCTGCTGGTCGTGAGCCTCCCGCTGCGCCGGAGACATCACGTAAAAGTGCCCGGGCGCGTTCATGCGGCGGGGGTAGCTGGGGTCGCCCGGGTCTCGGCTGTGGTGAAGCATCGCGCACTCCAATCCCCGCCGCAGGAGGTCGAAATTCTTCTCGAGCCCGCCGATGCCGAAAGTCATGTCGAACTGCTCGCGGGTCTTGGGTATGGCGTTGGGGCCCCGTATCATGTTCACTATGACGCCGATGTCGCTCGGATAGTTCACGATGGGGTTACC